TCCTCCTCCTCCTCTTCCTCCTCTGCTGTTCCCCTCTCCTCCTCCTCCGCCCCTCGTCTCCTCCTCCTCCTCACCCTCCTCTTCCTCCTGCTGTCTCTCCTCCTCCTCGTCCCTCTCCTCCTCCTCCTCCTCCCTCCTCTCCTCCTCCTCCTCCTCCTCCTCCTCCTCCTCCTCCTCCTCCTCCTCCTCCTCCCCCTCCTCCTCCTCTTCCTCCTCCTCCTCCTCCGCCTCTTCCTCCTCATCCTTCTCCTCCTCCTCCATTACTTCTCCATTCCTTCTCCTTGTACATAACGTCTCCCTCTCGCAACCCGAGGCAGGTTTCTAGAGCGGGCCAGGCGTTTCGCCAGAGACTTTCTCAGCGCTTATGAAACTAAATCTTAAACATGACACAAGCTTCGCACATGGACGGCGGCTGGTGTTCAAAATCTGGCTTTCGCCTTAGCGCCGCGCACATTCGTTTTCAACATGTGCAAGGGTTTCACGGATTGAGGGCGGGTCGTGTTCAAAATGTGGTTGTCGCCCTAGCGCCGTGCACATTCGTTTTTATTTATTTGTATATATATATAACAACAAATCATAATCTCCCTGGGTTTCACGGATTGAGGGCGGGTGGTTTTCAAGCTGTGGCTCTCGCCCTAGCGCCGCGTACATCCGTTTTCAACTGTTGCAAGAGCTTCGCAGGTTGAGGGCGGGTGGTTTTCAAACTGTGGCTCTCGCCCTAGCGCCGCGCACATCCGTTCTCAAATGTTGTAAGAGCTTCACAGAATGAGGACGGGCCGTGTTCAAACTGTGGCTCTCGCCCTAACGCCGCGCGCATTGCTTTCAAAAGTTGCAGGAGCTTCACGGATTGAGGGCGGTTCCTATTCAAACTGTGGCTCTCGCCCTAGCGCCGCGCACATTATTCTTAACTTACCCTGGCGACGTACCCAACCCTTGCGCAATGCGGGGCATAAATACATCAAGATTGCTACAACGGGGGCGATGCCGTAACATGGACGCATGTGATTTGGGGAGCAGCAATCGGAAGGCTCGCAAGCCCCCGATCAAGATATGAGGGCTACGTAATAACAGATCACCCCCGGTGGCTGTGCCATGCGCCCGTTGCACTCAACGTATCCCACAGCAGCTCTTCAGAGCCCCCGCGGGATAGTCGCAACGTTGTATGGCCATCGCCCTGCAGATGGTCTGTTTCACAAATCACCCCCGTTGGCTGTGCCATGCACCCGTTGCGCCTCGCAGCCCCCCCAGGGACGGCGAGGTCTCGCTCAGGTCCTCGCGGTGCCTCACCCCGCTGGACCCACCAGCAGACCTCGAAAGTGGCGACTCGCAGATCGCAGCCCCCCCAGGGACGGCGAGGTCTCGCTCAGGTCCCCGCGGGTCCCCGCGGTGCGCAGATCGCAGCCCCCCCAGGGACGGCGAGGTCTCAAGTCCCCGCGGTGCCTCACTCCGCTGGACCCACCAGCAGCCCTCGAAAGTGGCGACAATGTCGCAGATCGCAGCCCCCCAGGGACGGCGAGGTCTCGCTCAGATCCCCGCGGCGCCTCACTCCGTAGGACCCACCAGCAGCCCTCGAAAGTGGCGACAATGTCGCAGATCGCAGCCCCCAGGGACGGCGAGGTCTCGCTCAGGTCCCCGCGGTGCTCACTCCGCAGGACCCACCAGCAGCACTCGAAAGTGGCAACAAGTGTCCGCAGATCGCAGCCCCCCCAGGACGGCGAGGTCTCGCTCAGGTCCTCGCGGTGCCCCACTCAGCAGGACCCACCAGCAGCCCTCGACAGTGGCAACAATGTCGCAGATCGCAGCTCCCCAGGGACGGCGAGGTCTCGCTCAGGTCCCCGCGGTGTCTCACTCCGCTGGACCCACCAGCAGCCCTCGAAAGTGGCGACAATGTCGCAGATCGCAGCCCCCCAGGGACGGCGAGGTCTCGCTCAGGTCCCCGCGGTGCCTCACTCCGCTGGACCCAAAAGCAGCCCTCGAAAGTGGCGGCCGTGTCGCATATCGAAGTCCCACCCCAAAGACGGCGAGGTCTCGCTCAGGTCCCCGCGGTGCCTCATTCCGCTGGACCCACCAGCAGCACTCGACAGTGGCGACAGTGTCGCTGGTCGCAACCCCCCCAGGGACGGCGAGGTCTCGCTCAGGCCCCCGCGGTGCCTCACTCCGCAGGGCCCACCAGCAGCACTCGACAGTGGCGACAGTGTCGCAGATCGCAGCCCCCCAGGGACGGCGAGGTCTCGCTCAGGTCCCCGCGGTGCCTCACTCCGCTGGACCCACCAGCAGCCCTCGACAGTGGCGACAATGTCGCAGATCGCAGCCCCCCAGGGACGGCGAGGTCTCGCTCAGGTCCCCGCGGTGCCTCACTCCGCAGGACCCACCAGCAGCCCTCGAAAGTGGCGACAATGTCGCAGATCGCAGCCCCCCAGGGACGGCGAGGTCCTCGCTCAGGTCCCCGCGGTGCCTCACTCCGCTGGACCCACAGCAGCCCTCGAAGTGGCGACAATGTCGCAGATCGCAGCCCCCCAGGGACGGCGAGGTCTCGCTCAGTCCCGCGGTGCCTTCACTCCGCAGGACCCACCAGCAGCCCTCGAAAGTGGCGACAGTGTGTCAACTCCGCAGGCCCACCAGCAGCCCTAGTGGCGACAATGTCGCAGATCGCAGCCCCCCAGGGACGGCGAGGTCTCGCTCAGGTCACCCGCGGTGCCTCACTCCGCAGGACCCACCAGCAGCCCTCGAAAGTGGCGACAGTGTCGCAGATCGCAGCCCCCCAGGGACGGCGAGGTCTCGCTCAGGTCCCCGCGGTGCCTCACCTCCCTGACCCAACCAGCAGCCTTCGAAAATGGCGACCGTGTCGCAGATCGCAGCCCCCCTGGGACGGCGAGGTCTTGCTCAGGTCCCCCCGCGGTGCCTCACTCCGCAGGACCCGCCAGCAGCCCTCGAAAGTGGCGACAGTGTCGCAAATCGCAGCCCCCCAGGGACGGCGAGGTCTCGCTCAGGTCCCCGCGGTGCCTCACTCCGCTGGACCCACCAGCAGCCCTCGAAAGTGGCGACAGTGTCGCAGATCGCAGCCCCCCAGGAACGGCGAGGTCTCGCTCAGGTCCCCGCGGTGCCTCACTCCGCTGGACCCACCAGCAGCCCTCGAAAGTGGCGACAATGTCGCAGATCGCAGCCCCCCCCAGGGGTGGCGAGATCCGCACAATGCAAGAGCAGACAAGAGGGAAGCGGGAGACGGGAGGCGGGAGAAGAAGGACGCGACCGCAGTGCTCCATTCAAAACGAACACCCAACCAAGGAGGGTTGGGAAAATACAAAACACGGATTCCAATGATCGACGTACCATGTATAGTGTTTTGGGGGGTCACTGTTATGAGAGCACAACAATTGCGATGATTCGCGGTGTTGGAATCCCAAGAATGGCGTTCTGGCACGATACAGGATTGTCAAGATGCAACAATCTGGTTTACTCGTGGCGTTGGAAAACCGAGAGCCGACATGTGGCATGCATCCGGGTCTTCACACGGTTGTCTTCCAACGAAGGAGGTCCCTCTATGAAAATGAGCCGTTGTATGGGCCTATGCAGAGGGAGCTTGGAGGAAGGGTTTACACCGACATCGTTGGCGAATCTTGGGTTTACACTGGTCCTCCTCCTTCTCCTCCTCCGCCTCCTCCTCCTCCTCCTCTTCCTCCTCCTCATCCTCCTCTCCCTCCCCCCTCCTCCGCCTCCTGCCTCCTCCTCCCTCCTCTTCCTCCTCCTCCTCCTCGTGCTCTCATTCATTAGATTCCCCTTCTGTGTGTTCTAGACACAGCATTCGTGAGCGTGGGCTCTGCGCTCGACGGCGTGCGCCCGCCGCCCAATGATGCCTCGGCGTCGGGCACCTCACACTTGCGCCGTTGCCGTGCCCCGCGATTCCCTCCTCGCCTCCTCTCCTCCTCCTCCTCCTCCTCCTCCTCCTCCTCCTCCCCTCTTCCTCCTCTTCCTCCTCTTCCTCCTCTTCCTCCTCTTCCTCCCTCTACCTCCTCTTCCTCCTTTCCTCCTCTTCCTTCCTCCTCTTCCTCCTCTCCTTCCGCCTCTTTCCTTCTCTTCCTCCTCGTCCTGCTCCTCGTCCTCCTCCTCCTCCTCCTCCTCCGCTTCCTCCTCTCCCCCTCCCCCGCCCCCTCCCCCTCCCCTCCCCCTCCCTCTCCTCCTCCTCCTCCTCTCCTCCTCCTCCTCCTCCTCCTTCCTCTCCTCCTCCGCCTCCGCCTCCTCCTCTCTCGCGTCTCCTCCTCCTCCTCCTCCGTCCTCCTCCGCCTCCTCCGCCTCCTCCTGCTTCCACCTCCGCCTCCGCTTCCGGCCTCCTCCTCCTCCCTCCTCCTCCTCCTCCTCCTCCTCCTCCTCCTCCTCCTCCTCATCATCATCATCATCATCATCATCATCATCATCATCATCATCATCATCATCATCATCCCACTCCTGGCCCGAGTTCCACGACCTCCTCCTCCCCGCGCAGCGAAGCGAGTCTGCCTCGACCCAGGCCGTCCCCTGAGCCGCCCGTGCGCCGCGGTGACCACGTGGGACCCCTTCTCCTCCCGAGAGCACGAAGGGGAGATGGGGAGAACACGAAGAGGAGGAAAGGAGGAGGAGGAGGAGGAGGAGGAGGAGGAGGAGGAGGAGAGGAGGAGAAAGAAGAGGCATAGGGGGCACGAGGAAGAGGAGGAGGAGAAAAAGGAGGAGAGCAGAGAGGAGGCGGAGGAGGAGGCGGAAGAGGAGGAGGAGAAGGAGGAGGAGGATATTGAGAAGGGAGGAGGGGAAGAAGGAGGAGGAGGAGGAGGAGATGGAGAAGGGAAGAGAAGGAGGAGGAGGAGGATGAGGAGGAGAAGGTAGAGTGAGCACGAGGAAAGAGAGGAGGAGGAGGAGGAGGCGGAGGAGGCAAAGAAGGAGGAGGAGAAGGAGGAGGAGGGGGAGGAGGAGGGGGAGGAGGAGGAGGAGGAGGAGGAGAGCACCCCCCCCCGAAAGCGGCGGGCCGCCGCCTGGAGCTCGCGGCCGTCCGCCCCGTCGCCGGCGATGGGCAGCAAGCCGCTTGGGCTGCGCGCGGGGGCGGCACCGTGCGGCCGTCCGCCCTCGGAGGCGGGATCGGCAGGGCGACGAGGACGAGGGCGAGGACGAGGGCGAGGACGAAGGACGAACGACGAGGACGACGACGGGCACAACGACGACGGGCACGACGACGACGACGACGGGCACGACGGGCACGACGGCGACGACGGGGACGACGACGACGACGACCACGACGACGACGACGACGACGACGACGACGACGGGGATGACGACGACGACGACGACGACGACGACGACGACGACGACGACGGGGATGACGACGACGACGACGATGACGACGACGACGGCGGCGGCGGCGGCGGCGGCGACGACGACGACGGGGACGACGACGACGGGAAACAACGACGAGGACATGAACGATCACGACGGGGACGACGACGGGGGCAAGGACGACCACGACGGCGTCGGCGGCGGCGTGCGACGACGACTGCGAGGGTGACGGCCAGTCGGGGCAGCGACGCGGAAGAACGAGGGCGATAATGACGAGGGCGGCGTCGGCGGAGGGGATGGCGGGAGGGGGGAGTGGGTGAGCAGGGGGGAAGGGTGGGAGTTGGGGAGCGGCTGGGCTGGGTGGGGGGCGGAATGCCAGGGAGGGGGGGAAGGGAGGAGGAGTGAGGGAGGGAAGGAGGCAGGAGGAAGGGGGGAGTCAGAAAGGGAGAAGGGTGAATATTGCAGGAGGAAAGTCGAGAAGGAGGAATAGGGGAGGAATGAGGGGAAGGGAAGGATGGGTGGATAGAGGAGAATGGAGAGAGGAAAGAAGAGCGGGGAACGGTAACGACGACGACGACGACGGCGGCGACGACGACGAGGAATACGGGGGGCCGAAAGCAAGCCCAGAGTTCGGAGTAGCCGCGCGTGACGGCGGACACATGGAATCACCTGTAGGCCTCGCCGCTGCACCTGCTGATCTGGGATCGCCGGCATCTGCTGTGCCTGGTCTTTTTCCCTTCAATCCTGCGGCCTCGCTGCCCTTGGCATGGCCGTCAACGACACGAGGCCGCGCGCGCAGACGGGCGACGGCCATCGGACACCTCGGCGGCTGGAAGGAGCCGATCACCGCTCGGGGATCCCGAGGAGTGCGGCTCACGCTGCGGATTTCCAGCGCCGGCAGCGGCAGTGCGACGGCAGGCTCAGAACATGGGGGAGACACCTCCCCCTCCCTCATCCTCCTTTTCCTTTTCCTCCTCCTCCTCCTCCTCGTGCTCCTCCTCCTCCTCCTCCTCCTTCCTCCTCCCTCCTCCTCCTCCTCCTCCTACTC